ATCTGTGATCTGACCACCACGGGTATCGAAACCCGGATTTTAGTGTTGTAAGTTCGCAAACATATCGCTGTGCCATTGAGGGGGGTTTCATTACTATTTGCTTTCTATCATTTAATTAATTTTCTTTTTGGTACAGTTTTGTATAGTAATCAAATAACTGCACCTCGACATCCCTAATAAAAAAACAATGCTGTACATGAGGTGATACGAAATTAGTGCTAAAGGAAGTAATCTATATAAATATAATAGTACTGTCATTTGTCTGTCCATAAACTACTACGCAGAGTGTGGATGGTTCTTCACCAAAAATTGGTATGGAGGCTCACTAGGTCCATGCTGGGATACAAACCAATTTTAGCATTTTGCGGTTTTTATATGTGTTTTTGCGTTATTTACCACTATTTTGCCCCCTATATATGGATCTTCACTGAATTTGGCACAAAGGTTTGTTGGGTTCATGCGGAGGGAGTTACATGTAAATTTACGGTTTCACATTTTGTGTTTGACAGTTTTTATGGACGTTTTTTATAATTACATATAAAGAAAGCAAATTTTTACGTCCTAAGATAACCTTTTATTAATCACGAATTTATATAACTTCCGTCCAGTAAATCCCGATGTTATCTGTATTCAGGAATCGTTTCTCAATCCCCATATAAAATTGTGCATACAAGGTTATAAACCTATTCGAAAAGATCGAGAACACTCAGCAAAAGGAGGTGTACTAACTCTTGTCAAGAATCACTTGCTTTTACTGTCGTTACTTGCGTAGAAAATATAGAAGCTGCTGGGATTCAGTGTCAGACTTCTATGGGCAGAGTCACAATATTTAATATTTATAACCCTGGTGTCGCCATTGATCCTGTTGAGTATCGAGCGTTTTTTCTTCCAAACAGTATAATTTGTGGAGATTTTAATGCACACAACCCTTTATGGGGTGGAACAAAAACTGACTGTCGAGGTCAGATTCTCGGAGATCTAGTCATGGAATCTGATAAAGTGGTATTAAATGATGGTCGTGGGACATGTCTTGTTCGGGGTAATCTCTCTTCTCTAGATCTAACTATTGTAGACAGTAAACTTGCTAGTCTTGCTACCTGGGATGTTCTAGATGATGACCTGGAAAGTGACCATCTCCTGGTAATTACATCTGTTAAGATCCCTCTTGAAGTTAGGAGCACAACGGCCTTCTGGAACTTTAACAAAGCAAACTGGCTCAAGTTCCGTACGTTCCTTGATTCTTCCATTCAAAACATAGATATGTCTTCTTCTGTCGAATCTGTATATTCTCGTCTAATAACTATTATTTTGGAAGGAGCAGAGAAATTTATCCCACTATCAACCACAGACTGTGGAAAACATCAGACCCCTTATTGGAATATGGAATGTGAGAAAGCAGTTAAACAAAAAACACAAGAGTAGGAAGAAAGCTCTTAAAACGCGTCTCTTAGACGATTATATTGAGTATAAAAAGCAGAAGGCCATTTGTCAACGTACAATTCGAGCACTCCAACAACGTGATTACTGCTCTAGTTTCAACCGTTCATCAAATTTAAGTAAAATATGGAAATTCGTAAAGCGTATGAAGGGTGGGGGTTCTATCTCTATTCGTACCCTTAAAACTCTTGGATCAATATATTTGACGGAGGTTGAAATGGCAAATGCTCTATCTGATCAATTTGCCCACATTAGCAGTTCCGACAATTATTCACCCGAATTTTTAACTCATAAAATATTATCTGAACATGACTACTATGCCACATTTACAAAGAAGCCAAATAATAGTAATGGGTTGAACGCTCAATTCACGATCGGTGAAATTAACCGAGCAATAAAGACATCTAAAAACTCGGCCTCTGGTGACGATCGAATTCCTTATAAAATCTATAAAAATCTTTCCCCCATTTTTTTTTTTGGTAAAGCTGCTGGAATTTTTCAATAAGGTATGGAATGAAAATACTCTCCCTTCAGCCTGGAAACACGCCATAGTTTGTCCAATCCCTAAGCCAGACAAGGATCCAAGTTCTGTTACATCGTATCGACCAATCGCTCTTACTTCTACTATGTGTAAAATTATGGAACGAATGATTGCATACCGTTTGAATTGGTATTGTGAAAAACATAGACTTTTTGACCAATTTCAGTCTGGTTTCCGTTGGAAGAAGTCTCCGCTTGATCATTTGTTATGGCTACATGAAGATGTCAACAAATCATTATGTAACAGAGGTAAGGCTGTGTCTGTGTTCTTGGATATATAACGATCATACGATATGGTCTGGAAAGAAGGTTTGTTATATAAACTCAATAGTTGTGGTTTTGATGGCCAACTATTTAACTGGATTAAAGACTTTCTTTCAAACAGATTCTTTAAGGTCAGAGTCAATGGAGTCGTCTCTGGGGAAAGAGTCTCGGAAAATCCACTCCCCAGGGTAGTGTTATTAGCCCTATTTTGTTCATTCTAATGATTAATGACCTTAGTTCTTCCTTCATTAATAATGGCACGAATTATAGTATTTTTGCTGATGATCTAGCCCTCTGGAAACTGGTCGTAATATTAATCACATTCAAACCTGTCTTCAAATAAATCTGGATAATTTAGCCGATTGTTTTTTTAAATGGGGCTTTGGGTTTCAGCCCTAAAGTCTGCAGTTCTACCTTTTTCTGGTACTTCAAACACAGTGAAATTAAATTTTAATAATCATCAACTAGTCTCCGTTAGCATATCCTGGGGTCACAAACGTTTATATTGAACTTGATGACCTCTATGGCCAAGTTTATCAATTCATTTTAGATTTCTGGCAGTATAGATGGAATTCAGTGCAACATTCCAATATCTACAAGAAAATTGTTCCTGTTGTTTCTTCTCACATCAAGTATGAATGTACGAACAGACACCAAGAAGTTATTATTACACGCCTCCGGTTTAATTGCACGGGTCTAAATGGAAATCTGTACAAAATAAAAGTTCACACAGATGGTGAATGCAGCCATTGTTAAAATTTTGAAGACCCAGAACATGCTTTCATGGAATGTATACATTACCAAAGAGATCGAACAGCCATAAGACAACAGATGGGTAACATAAAAGTCCCTTTTACCTACCTCTCTCTATTAACTACGAATTGTCTCTATACCGCAATATATAACTTCGTTATAACAAACAACATAAAAATTTAATGTCCTTCTCTTTTTACTAATAGGGCTACTTCTTTTATCCTTGTCTCCAATGGCTGGAGTCGCCCCAGTCGAGAAGAACTAACTATGTAAACTTTTTCCTTATGTATTATTCCAATAACAAGGATTTTTAGAGTAACACAATTAACAACAACAACAAAAAGTATAATAAAAAAGTAATAATAATAATAAAAAAAAATTAGAAAAAACATGTATGTATGTATATGTAACTATTAACTTCTCCTTAATGCTAAATGGCAGAGTGACGAATTTACACAGCGTGGTCTCAAGTAAATAGACACCACCTTTTCAGAAAAAATGAAAAATGAAATAAAGTGGCAATAGTCCTTCTTCCAATATTTCGACGTATTTCGCAAAATTTATGTTGCCAACGCACTCCACTAAGCTCGATCTCCCACCAACCCAAACAGCTCCCCAAACCATCACGCTGAAACCACCATGCTCCACAGTTGACTGCAATCTGTTGAGCAAAAACTCTTGGTGAGGCATTCT